AGTTTTAACATTGGCAATGTATTTCGGAATACGGTTCTAGTTATGGATATCGTATTCAAAAGTATTATTGCTGCATATTATTTGAAATATCTTATTACTAGGTAATACATAGCCAATAAAATGCTTTTAAATTTTAAAATTAAAACGAATTTAACTTCACCTCGATAATTTCACCTTTTGATAGTTCAAAAAGAGTGATAAAATCATATGAAATCTTAAAAAATCTTATAAAAATACGAAAATCTTACGAAATCTTATAAAATATCTAGAATCTTACGAAATTTTTAAAATCTCTGAAATCTCATGAAAAATCTCTGAAATCTCATGAAATCTTATGAAATCTTGTGAAATCGTATTAAATCTTTTGAATTCCGTGAAATCTTTTGAGATTGTAAATGAAATATTGAAATCTGGCGAATCTTCTGAAATCTCGCAATCTAGAAATCTAGCACTGAAAAAAATGCATTCCTGATTCATGTATATTTTTATTCTTGAATGCCATTTGCTTTCTTTAAGTATGAAAAGTTCTCTTTAATTACAAATGTTCACTTGCTCAATAATAAATAAATTTGCGTGATGTATATTTTATTCTTAAAATCGTATTCTTATTTCTATAATCATGAGATTGTTCTAACAAGCTCAATCGCATTATTTGAAAGCTATTCATTCTTGGATTAAGAATTACATATTTAAAAGTGCGCTCGACTTATATTCAAAGCTCATTTGTTTTACGTTCGCGGGCAACACGACAACAGTGCGCGTACGAAAGTTCAAGGAACTCCAGTATCAATCAAGATGGCCGAAATAAACAAGGCAAATGAAGATATTTTCGTAAGTGAAATGTTGTGTTCATGGAGTATGCCTCTAAGTGTGATTCAAACTTTCAAAGGTAAGTGAAATGTTCAGAGCTCATTCTACATAATTTATAACCTACGTTGTAATAGACGCCCGATTTCGTCACAGTGGCAGAGAAACGCCCGTATACACACAGGCGGATCTGTTACCCATAGGTAATTTGAGTGAGATGAGCAATGAATCCGTTACAGATCCGCCTGTCTGTATAGGCATCGGCCTTCCTTAGCCACCACGACAAGGTCACTCGTCTGTTCCCTTACAATTATATATGTATATACTCGTAATCGTCGGTCCGTGCCTGGGTGACCTATGCAGATTTTTACGTTTAATTTTTGTTGTAAAAATGGTATAAGTCTATAGGGCTGCAATATTTGCACTGCCAGTACTGAAAATCTGTAGTGCACATAACGTATGCTATAGTTTCAATACTGACAGTGAATATTGAAACGCAGGCAAAGTTGCGTAGACTGACCTAGAGTCTAGACTAACATTTTTTATTTTAGAAATAATTTTCTTTTCCAAAATTTTTTGGGTTAGCACCAAATAAAGGTTAATAAACAGATTTACAAAATACAAACTGCTAACTGCAGTTTTGAAAGAATAAGTATTAATTTATTTGTAAATATGTTTAACAATGACTAGTTTTTAAAAGTAATATTTTCTTTTTTGTATGTGAAATTTAATTTCAGATCAAGGAATAGATATTGATGTATTTTTGCAACTTGATGAAAATGATGTCAAAGAAATACTAAAGGACTATGTCCTAGAAGTGAAATTAAAATTTTGGAAAAAATATGCTGAATGGAAAGATAATATTAAATTTCAAGTAAGATATGTTCCATCTATTTTCAAAATGTGTATATATGTATAGATTACACACACATTGCAGTGTATATTACATATAACTTTAATTAAACCATTATTTTTGATAACATTGATCAAAACGGTAGTTTCTAACTTTGAAATAAATTATAATTTAAAATCTGTGTTTTGAATTAATTAATAGCCTCTCTTAATGTTTCTAATCACAACTACGTAAATCTTGTATATATATATATGTATATATATTGAAAAGTTTTATATATTCAAATACGTATTTTTTCTTTCTTTTAGGACACTGCTAAGTCTATCACAGAAGACGTATTTTTATCTATAAATAACGAAATGGAAGAACAGGACGAATCAACTGAAGTGAGGTCTAAAATTTCGATTTCATCTGAAGAAGTTGGGGACGTTTCTGATGATTCAGATTACATTAATGTAAGTATTGTGTTGTGTTGTGTTTGTGTTGTTGTGTGTGTGTGTTGTGTATTATTAAACTAATCTATCTTAATTTAAGAAATTAACCTTTGTTGTAAAATAAAACAGACTCATTCTGCTATAATGAAAAGATATAAAATTAAAAGTATGACTAAATTAGGCTAGTGAGAGTCAAGCAACGTTGAACGGCGCAAAGATAGGTGAAAACCATATTCAGATGTTAGCTTAAAGTCTTCTGTATTTGGACGTTTCGACTCTCTTTGGAGTCATCCTCAGCAATAAAGATACAATATAATTGACTTACATGTCCTCGATGATTAAGTCACTCGCAAATTGGCAAGAATGCAGCGTTGTTAATCTAACAATTACACAATTTTCTCATTAGATAATGCCTGAGTTCACAACATTAATTGACTTACTACCATAGGACATGAAGCGTATCGCGAAGCCATATAATAATCATAAGAACTCACAATTATATATATAAATTTGAATAATATTGACATCTTCAACTGTCAGTATACATTGACATGTCGCTCGGAATTGAGTTGTTCTCGATGTAAGAGGTCAACATGTACGAAAACAATAAGGAAAGCTTATAAACTTCAAGATAAAATCGCATGTACATTATTCTATTCGCCAATCAAATTCTCAAAAAATTTTTAAAAACGCAAAAACTTTTTTATGTAAAAAATTGGAATCGTAAAAATTAAATTAAAGATATAAATATATCATTAGAATAGATATACATATATCACTAAATTTATTTATTTTCATTTAAAAAGAGAATTTAGTCTAATTTATAATTCTACTACGTATTAATTTTTTATTTTAGAATTCAGAATCAGATTCGGAAAACAACAGATTTCTTAATAAATTAGGATTAAAAAGAAAGCAAAATTTAACTGAAACAGAAAATTCAACTTCTGTTAAGAAGAAGAAAATGGTTAATCCAGATATACTTGCTGAAAAAAAATCACTGTTTTGAGTGCTTTACGTGAATTAATGGATTTGGTAAGTAAATAAAATTGGACTTTTACCTTCAATTTTATTGTTTACTTAAGTCAGCTCGAGATTTTTATATGCACCCTCATCATGAAAAAAAATATGATCAAAATATTAGTTATTATTTTGTGTTTTCATTAGATTTTTATAACTTTATTATATTTTTATTGACTGAAACTAATTATTATTTTTACTTTTGATATATTTTAATTTTCTTATCAACATCCAAGGTCAAATTTATAATTTTTTATTAAAAGCTTTCACATCAAAACTGTAGACTCTTTGTTGCATTGCTACTGTTATGAGAACATTGCAAAAAACTTTGTTATTGCTGTTTTCAGGATCTAAAGAAGCTACTTGATCAGTCTTTAGAGGGTAAGGCTATCCTTCAAACTTATGAAATGAATAAGCATTTGGAAGAAGAAGATCGAACAGCCCTTGTAGACATTGTTGTTAAATGGTTACTTTCCGTTAATTTCCGTATCACTCAGTAAGCTATTTTATTAATAAATATATTTTAATGTTGCTCTCTCTTGGTTACTTGAATACGTGAGAATAACAGTAGTTAAATTAAAGCTTGTGTGCTTTTTCTAATTAAAAACTTAGCAAAATTTTATTTTCTGTCTTATATATTCTTTATTTTTTGTTTACAGTCCAAAAAAATCTGAGTTAATTGTATTGAAAGACAAGATTTTTACTCTATTTAATGAAGAGGTACTGTAATAAGTTTCATTTGCATGTTATGCGGAATCTACAATAGAAGTCATAGACAGTATAATATATTGTATAAACTCCGCATTAATCTGACATATAAATCTTTAATTCATTTTATTAATAATTTATTAATATTACAGAATGTCTATTACATTGCTCCAAAAGAAGAAGGAAGTAATCAATCTCTCGCTAGAGGAAAACTTTTTGATAGAGCAAGAAATCTGAAAGAATGGATGAGAAAGAAAAATCTTCTTCCAAGTGTTAAAACATCCAAACAGAATGATTGTAACAAATCTGTCACAGAAACAGGTATTCTATTTGTTTTTTATTTTGCATATTGAAAGTTTTTTATTTTGCATATGTTTTATGTACTTTCCTATAATCAATTTTTGCAGCTTATGGTTTGGACCTTTTATGAAATTTTTAAATAGTCAATGTGATTTGAAGTTAGCCTCATTATTGAGGCAACTATAGACAATTGTAAATTGCAAATAATTAAAACAATTTAATTCCTATCAAATTTATTAGAATTTTCTGATTTAATTAATTATAATTATATACATAAATAATTGAGTAAAAGTCGAAGCTTTTTACCAAATAAAAAAAATATATGTGCTTTCTAGGAGTTTTCAGTTAGTTTTTAAACTTGTCTTAAAAAGTATAATCCTCTGTACAAAAATAAATTTTATGATTTGTGTAAAAAGTAAATTATGTAAACTGCTATTTTATTTATTAGTTTTCTAACACATTTACTGTTTCTTATGTAGCTGTTTTAATGAAGCCCACAAATAACACAGAAATAGCTTTAAATTGGCTGAAAAGTTTTCATGAACCATGGAGCAAAGTAGAGGAAAAATGGGCTGTAACATTTAAGTACAGACAAGATGTATTGATAGCTTCAAGATCTCAGGCTAAAGAGCGACGTACAGACAATATTAAAGCTGCAGCTTATTTGGATGAGCACAAAGTTCTTCATCTCAGTCATGGTTATACATTAGTAAGGGTTTTTGTTAATATATTTAATTGCTTTGTAAACTATGATTTACAATACCATAAATATCTGTATAAACAAAAGGTTACACATTGAGCGTTTTTTTATTTTATTATCTAGATTGAAATAGATTTTGCAACATCTTGTCAACCTGGATTAGAGGATGCATTGATAAAAAATTGGCAATCGTTTACTCACAAAATTGATTCTATTTAAAAAAATAGTTCTCAATCTGTGAAAGATCCTGAAGGAAAAATGTTGCAGCAACTTTACTTAGAGACTACCAATATAGGTACAATTTTATATTATATGTGTGTATGTACACACACACGCGCGTGCATATGCAGTACATAGGCCTTGAATAAAAATTACAGGAAAATTTTATGGATATAATTCACATAATTAGAATATTAAAAGAACATATTGCTTTATTTTTATTGGCTTTAGTTAATTGACTTTAAGCTAATTGTCCAATTAGTTTTTATTATGCCCGTTTGCGTTAGCACCATTGTAAATTAACTTTAATCTCGATTTAACTTACTATTTATCTTTGTCTAGTCCAAAAAATTATAAAAAGATAAAAGGTAAATGGAATTGAGAATAAAATTAATCTTACATTGGTGAAACAGAGGTTTAATATATATTATATTTTATTTATAGAGTCAAAACATATTCTGCTTATACAATGCTTCACTGCTACCTCCAAGTAGGCATGCAGGTGCAGCTTGGCAAAAAGAAATTTAAACCCACAATTAAAGAAAGCAGAGATGCTTGTATTGCTAATGTCAATGTAAGTTTTGTTAATATTTAACATTTTTAATCGTTTATGTATTTTAAATCAGTTAAATAACTTTCTTGTTTAAGATTCCTGGCCAAGTTCTAAATTTCATAACAGAAAGACGTGCAAAAATATGCAATCAATTTGGACGATCTGCTTCCGTACAACCATACATTTTATATGTGGGCAAGGAACCAGATGTGATAGATGAAATCTTTTATCTATTTTATCATTAATGTACAAATTTTAATACTTACAAATTACGAAAAATGTCATTATTAAAGAAAGGTTTACAAATTTCATTGTTATAATTAAAATTATAACAATATCCCATATCTTGATACAGATTTTAACGCGGACACTTGTAAACATTCCTTTTGTAACATTTTTTTTGTAAATAGGTATTAAAATTGTGCATTAGTGATAAAAGTTAACACAGATATACAAAGCCGAGGTTAACACAACTTATAAAAAATTTTAATGCATATATATACGAAAGGAAATTTACAAATATTAGGTCGGGTTACGGAGATATAGATAAGTCTATGTTAAGCATTTAATGGATTAAATCTAATAAAACACTAAAGTTCATATAAGAATATTGTCGTATTTGAATTTAAAATAATTTTCTTTTATTAAGTTGATCACAAAGGCGTCATTGAAGAAAAAATAATGCTAATACGAGCATACTTTGTTTTGAACAAATGCCACTGTATTCTGTAATTGAAGTAAAATTTATTTTCAACCAAGAATATTTTAAGAATAATTTTAACAATAATTTGTTCTCAATCGGAGTTCGTTTATTCTTGGCGCTATTCTAAAGTTGGAAACACAATAGGCACAGGCAACAGGGAATAACGAGCCGTCCAATCAGAGCTTTGGGGTATAAGATATTATATCCCAGAGCTCTGATTGGACGGCTTAAGAATAAAATATTCTTTGATTAAAGCATTTATGCATTTCTTTAAGAATTCTTTTTTTTGCGTGAGTGTACGCACGATCTACCTAGGGTGCTTTCCGATTCATGCATGATGCGCATGAATCGCATTAATGCTTAAACATCGTTTCGTTTTATGTACAAAATGGCGACCAGAAAATTATTGCCTTTATTCATTAGTAATGTTATTAATGAATGTGATTCATCTTCATCATCATCCTTATCATCATCTTCGTCATCAGATAGCGAAGATGAAGGTTTACAAGCACTGTATTTAGTGCAACTGATTAATGAGACATGTAATGAGGTTACAGTAAGAAAAAAGCTTGAAAATTATGTTGAAATAATCGTTCCCGGTTACACAAAATATGAATTCAAGGAACATTTTAGGTAAGATAAGTAAAGATTATATCTAAAATTTATTAGTTTAATTCATTTTAATGTAATGCAATGTATTTTTATCACAATTATTTTGTATGTAGTAAGCAGAATGTAATTATAACGTATTTTTTACAATTAGATATACTATTTTTTTTATATAGAATATTTCCAGATACTTTCGAAGAGGTTTTATCATTTATTGGTCCTCGATTGAATGCAACAAATAGTGCAAGTGGTAGAAAACCAATTCCTGCAAACACTCAACTTTTCATAGCATTGTGGTATATGGCAACGCCAGATTCCTACAGGTATTACTATTATTAGCCAGGATTAAAGTTCTGAGATCACAAAAATAGCTAGCTCAACCGTTGTCGCTTAAATATAACCTATTAATATAAATTATATTTTATTTTAGATCTGTATGTGAAATGTTTGGGATTGGAAAAGCTACAGCTTTTAGAGCTGTAAGACGAGTTACATATGCTCTCCACTGTCTTGCATTTCAAATTATTCAATGACCTAAAGGAGAACGTGCTATTGAAGTCATGGAAAATTTTCAAAAAAGTTCTGGTTTTCCAAAAGTTATTGGTGCAATAGACGGATCGCATATTCGAATACGTGCACCTAAGGAAGATGCAGCATCCTATGTCAACAGAAAAGGCGATCATTCTATTATTTTACAAGCTGTATGTGATTCAAAATGTTTACTTACACACTGTTATGCTGGGCAAGTAGGGTCGGTTCACGATGCCAGAGTATTTAGGAACTCACCAGTGTCAAATTTTATTGAAATGCCTGATGAATATTTCATTGATGATTCACATATAATTGGCGATGCAGCCTATCCAATTCATCCTCATGTTATGGTACCATTTCGAGATAATGGTTACTTGTCAATTTCTCAAAAAAATTATAATTATTGCTTGTCTTCAACAAGAATGGCTATAGAGCGTGCATTTGCTTTATTAAAAATTCGTTTTCGTATACTTTTAGATTGTTTACCATTACTGGGTATAAAACATATTCCTGAATTTATAATAGCCTGTTGTGTATTACATAATATTTGCATTTTGAAAAATGATATGATAGATTGTCAAATGGTCAGATGTAATGAACAAAGACCTAATATCGAACCATTTTATGAAAATGTTTCGATATTAGGTAATGAGAAAAGAAACAGAATTCTGAATGAATTAAGGCACAGATTATAAGTATACATTCTTAAATATTTTATTTTTATTTAATAATACATTTTGTATGTATAATGAACATAAGTATTATGAGCAAAGTATTATTATGTGATGATATGATAAATAAGAAGTACAAAAAGGAAGTAAATATAAGAATAAATTGAATTTAAATAAAGACTACTTAAATTCAATTTATTCTTATATTTACTTCCTTTTTGTACTTCTTATTTATCATATCCTCACATAATAAAATTAAATTTCTTCAAGAGTAATTAAAAGAATTATTATTTTGTTATAACTAAAATAACACTTGTTATACATATCTAATTAAAATAACGCTTCTGTTATACATATGTTTCAAACTAAAATAACATTTATGTTAGACATATACAGGGTGTATATCATTCTTTCAAGTAACTTTCAATGTAATTTAAAAAAACTGTGTTAATATCATTATCACACATATATCACGTTTTTAATAACATTTTATAACATAAAAATAAAAAAAGATAAAAAATCAATATGCTGTTTTACTTTTTCGTATCTTTCTCTTTATCTATTAAAGATGTAAATAATTGTAATATGGATTCTTGTATTGCCATTTTATCTGCATGCATCTTCTGCTTATCTAGCCTTCTCTTTTCATATTGCATTTGCTTTTCTTTTTCACGTTGAGCTTTAATCTTCTGTTTGTCTTTATCCCGTTCTTCCATAATATTTTTTAAATTATCAACATAACTATTTATTATTGTTTCAATACGTTTTTTTTTCAGGCGCTATAAATATGAATATATTACTCTATAGTATACATCAGTGGTCGCAAGGATTTGCACATTTTGGACCAATTCCGGCGCGCGACCCCCACCACCGCACGGCCGAGCCGCCGGGCGGTCACGTGACGCTCTGGCTCGGGGGCGTTCCTATACCAGAAATATACTGGGAGCGCGCCTTCCGCCAAATAATTATTGAAATGTTTTTTATCAAATAATTTATATAATTATATTATTTATTTAATAATTTATATAGTTATATTATTTATTTAATGATTTATATTATATTACCAGGTATATAAATATGAAACCGGAATTTTTTAATAGAAAATACACGTTTATTGCATGAAAATGATAAAAAATATTTTATTCGAAGTATTGCCCATCGCTAGCTATACATTTTTCTCACCTGTCTGACAATTTGTGGATGCCACACCAAAAAAATTGTTGCTCTTTTGAGCCAAACCAGTCATATAGCCATTTTCCTACATCTTCGTAAGAAGCGAAGCGCTGCTGAGCAAGTGCGTGTCCCATCGATGCAAATAAGTAGTAATCGAATTGTTTTTTCTGTTCGATGAAATTGAAGGTGTTTAAACTAAAGAACCGTTGGATTACTTCCAATTACGGATGACACTTGAAAAAAGAATATACCAGGAATAAACGGATGCATGGAAGCGAAGTTAGTATTATTGATACGCTGGGAAAGCCTCAATCTACTCCAAAAATTCAAGAAGATATGCAACAAGTAATCGTCGAAGTGGATTCAGAGCTAATCAACCCATCGAAATCACCATCATCATCGGTAAATGATTGTCGATTAATAATCAGAGGGCGCGGAAGTTCGTTAATAATAAAATAAAACTTCTATTTTACTATTATACATTCTAAGCTGTATACGAGACTATATATTATTATGTACACAATTCTATATTATAGGCGAGGCGTTAACCACTTTTGAAATCTGGTGTACATGGTGTTAGAAACCTCGAGAAATCTTGGGAAATCTTAGAGATTTCAAATATCTTGAGAAATCTCAGGAAATCCTTGAAATCTTAAGAAATCTCGAAAAGTCCTAGGAAATTTCCAGAAATCTTGAGAAATCCCTGAGATCATAAAATCTCAAAAATTCGTAGAAATTATTTATACATTGCAAAAGAAGTTCTACGGAATCCAAAAAATCTGAAAAGCGATGAAACGTATATAATTTTGAGTTGAAGAAATTGAAATTCTAGTATATGGGAAACGATTGCGATAGAATAAAATTTAATTATGTTTATAGATATAATTTATTTATGAGTACATAATTTGTAATGAGTACAAAATACTCAAATATCAATAAACTTTTTTATCTTATTAATTAATATTCGACTGTATACTGGAATATTGTTCTCAAACAATGGTTGTAGCAATGAACACAAATATCCCTCTATATCACGATACACAGGTTTTCTGATGGAAGCAACGAGATTATATTGTTCTACTTTATACCATGGAGAGCATAAACATATAATTTCTTTTACATTTTTTTCGGCGTCTTTACCGGCGCACTTTCAGCGAAATATTCTAATTTCCGACCTTTTCCTATTTTATATGAAAACGATAGCACCCTACCGATAAAAATAATATACCCTTTCTTAGTAATAGCCTCGGTAAAAGCGCACCATTGGCCAATGTTAATGTTTTCAGATTGCACAACATCATTAAAATCAATTGTATGACTAGTGTTGGTAGCATATTCGTTCTTACTTGCTATAGTAAGCACCCTACCGATAAAAAAATAATATACCCTTTCTTAGTAATAGCCTCGGTAAAAGTGCACCATTGGCCAATGTTAATGTTTTCAGATTGCACAACATCATTAAAATCAATTGTATGACTAGTGTT